ACAAGCCAATTCAGTAGGAAGTGACTTTTCTGAACACTTCACTCTAGCAGATCCTGACCCTTGCATCAGCCAAGCACGAAAGGGAAGGGGCTGGTATCAGTCAGGGGGCTCAGGAGGGACTCAAACAAACACTTTGGTTCAGGGAGGGGAGCTTAAGCTTCTTGTGATGATGAATTAGGGGATCAAATGACCCCTAAGCTTAACCGAGGTCTTTGGTTCTTGTGGTTTCTCATTGACACTGAGGACATAAAAACCATATCTGAGGATACCACATGTGGGATGAAGACTGGAGACCAGGAAGAGCTTCCTAGTCTGGGAGAGATGTGTTAGGTTCAGGGACCTTTCTTAGAGATTTTCAAGCTGGAAATTGGTGTGAAAGGAAGGGACTAGGGAAGGGGTTGGGCCAGGGCTAGGGGAGAAGTCAATCTGGCTGCTCCCATTTTCCTGCACATTCCAATTCCAGTTTAACCTCTGACTCTCTGTTGGCCTCAGCCCCTATCCTTGTCCTCAACTCCCATTGTACTCCCTGCTCTCAGCAGTACCTCCAAATTCACTTCTCTCTTTTTCTACCTCAAGGGAAAGGAGTACCCAGGGTGGCAGGAAGAGAGGGGAAAACCGAGTGCTGAGCCAGTTCTGAGGAGGGAGGGGAAGCCCAGGGAGGAAGGCAGGGAGGAGGGGGTATTTTGGAAGAGGAGAAGGCCTTTTTTGTCCCAAGAGAGAAGGGAGCACTGTCTGAAGCAGTGGCCCAGCTGGGGTGTGCAACCCCGAGGTCACTCACTTTAAATGGCCTCTATGTGCCTCTCTGCCATGAGGCAGACTTGCTCTTTGGCCAGCCCTGCTCCATTCCCCATCCCCTTCTCCATCCTAGGATGTCCTCACTCAGTTCTACCCACCTCTTTCTTGGGACTGTAAGATCTTTCTCTACTCACTTCTTTCCCTCCTTTTTCAGTAGAACTCCAAAGCCACCTCCTTTGCCTCCCTGGGCTTCCTGACCCAACATTTTCTCCTTTGAAGGCTGTAAAGGCTTTCACCCTGGTGATCCTGCCATCATAGATTCAAGGCTGTTGTCCTGTCTCCCACCAGATGGGCTGAGTTGGTTCACAGACTCAGAGGAAAGGAAGGAAAGAAATGGGCATGTGTGCGTGTGCAAGTGTGTTTGTGTGTGGATTCAGAGCCTGAGGGAGCGGAGTAAGCAGCCTGGGCACACCCTGAGAGAGACACACCCAGGGACAGCTCTAGATTGCTAGCAGGATCCTTGGCGCTTTGAAATGAATGGAAAAGGAGAAAGGAGGGCTACAAGAAGGAAGGGTGGCAACAGGAATTAACAAGAATAGAGGAAGACCAAAATACAAGAGTATAAAAAAGAGAGTCCAGAGGGAACAGATGAGTGGGCTTCTAAGCAGTCTGGCTTGGCTGCTCCCTACCTGTTTGTGGTGCCTTTCAGGGGACCCCTTGACAAGGCAGCTGCGGCTGAGGCGGAGGTAGCCCCCCAAAACCAAGATCTCCTCAGCAGTCGGGTACCGCTTCTTCCCAGACCCAGTGACTGCAGCATCAGCAGCTGGAGTGGCAGGGGCTGCAGGGGGCACAGACCGCCTGGGATTGACCGTGAAGGTGTGTCCGCTGCGGCGGGGTGCCCCCACCCCTGGCCCTGCCTTCACCCCATAGAACAGCCGGCTCATGAGGGGATCCCCAGGGGACTGGGGGGCAGGCAGGGCTGGGGGTGGGGGAGACAGAGGGGCTGTGGTTGGGGGCCGGAGTTCCACTGCTTCCTCTTCCTTCTGTCTAGAGCCTCCAGTCCCAGCGTCCTCTGGTGGGAGGGGGGAGGGGACAGAGCAGAGGTTCTGCAGGGTGCTCAGAGACCTGCCGCGAGCCCCTGCCTCCTCCTTTTCGGCTTCCCCTTCTCCAGCCTCTGCACCAAGGGGCACCAGATACTTCTCAGCAGACTCTGGAGGATCTGACTTCTGAGTTTGAGTCTCTGTGTCCCTGGATGTCCATTCTCGAACCTTCCCAGAGTGCAGAGTCCATTTCCACCCTTCTGTCAGCCTTAAGCCCCTCTCACCATCCTCCAAGAGGCTAGGCCTCTGCTCTGCTGCCTGCACTCCTCCAGAGCTGCTGTCTGGAGCCTCCTTTGTCAGGGTCTCTGACAGCCCTGTAATCTCCTCTGGAGTCATCCTTGGAACTGGCCTCTCTTCTTTTAGCCCACATTCCTCTGAGCAGTCTTTTCTTTCTTCTCCTGAGCTCAGCCTCCATTCTGATGCCTCCAGTTGTATCAAACTTTGTTCATGAGACTCTCTGGAGTCAGGCCTCCATTTATGGGTCTCTGTCAGGCCCATCTTCTGATTGTTAGACTCCGCTGGGCTCAGTCTACTTTCTACCACCTCTTTTCTCTTGGGGCTTTGTTCTCGAGGCTCTGCCAGTCTCAGATTCCGCTCCAGCATTTCTCCGGGGCCCAGCTTCCATTTCCATGTCTCCGACAGCCTGGAGATTCTGTCTCCAGCCTCTCCTGAGCTCTGCCTCCAGTCGTGAGCCTCTGAAGGCCTGGGGCTCAACTCTCGGGCTCCCCCTATCCCTAGCTTCCTCTCTCTGGCTTCCCTGGGACTGAGCC